TCACCGAAAACGTTAATTTCACAAAGGCCGAAGAGGGATGGTGTAGATAGGTTTTCCGCTGACAATACGACTGAACAATAAAGACCGCAGCGTCGACGAAGTAACGAAATTGTGTACATTATTCTCTTGTATATACAAAACTGTGTGCCAATATATGACAAAGATTCGCATTATTATAAGTGCATTTGTTGAGAAGGTGGAGATCATGTGACAAAGGTCCACTCAGTACAAATGATGCTGTCGTTTAGATTTTAATGCCACTCATATTGGGAAAAAAATTTTCATCTTCATGTTCCAAACATTTTTTACGATGATTTTCATCCTGTAAAAGGCCCAAGAGCCACTCGAGGCAGAAGGTTACACTATAAGAGGCACAATTAATTGGGATATGCGGGGAAGAAAACAGTTAACACTAGATTGAACAGGTTAAGATTGCATTGGTCAGGGAAGCATCCTCTTGGGAGTCAATTCCATAAAGCAGGCGTTAGTGGCAAGAAGAACTATTGGAGTGGAACCATTGGAATCCGAAGTGAAAGTGGGTGGTTCGCTAAAATGGGCGTTGCATGAAGGTTAAAAATGGTGAAAATAAGGAATGTAGTTTGCTTTCATTTCAGTTTCATTCTTTAGAAAATTGGAATAGCATCATCCAAATCAACGATAGATTTTCTTCTTTTTTTACAATGACAAAATATAATCTCCAGGATTTAATAATGCGTGTCAGAATCACATACAATTATAATTTTTTAGGCTTTACGACAGCTTCTGTTTTAGGATTAAGCAAAATAGAATACAACGTCTTCTTATTTCTTTGAGTTCTAAAATAAACATAACTTCGGCCACCATTTTCGAATTAGAAGCGAATATTCGTCGAACGAAATAATCTATAAAAAGCAAAATAATCTCTTAATATTATTGCTAGTAATCTATTTAGTAGCAGCAAAAGTTGCCATCACCAGAGCATACGAGTATGGGTATGTTTTTTACGAAAAACATGTACAGTCAGACAACAAATTTGTCTCTCGAACACTGGATACTAAGATGTTCATGTTGTACAACCGATGGCTTCCTTAATAAACTGAAAGCAAAGGAAATATATATATATATATATATATATATATATATATATATATATATATATATATATATATATATGAAGACAACGGCCCGATTTTCGATGGAATTGATTGAATCGATTTCATGTTAATTGTGACTAAATACAATTTATGTCAAATCATTTGGAAACCATTTCTGAGTAAAACAAAACATGATTGCGACTAGCCTACTTGTTAGTAAAATAAAAAATATAGGATTTTACACGATCAATATCAAATTCTTGAATTGAGCTAAATTTCAAATCCAGTGTGCGTTAATGGCCGCAGGGCGAGATTCTCCAATCCTTTCGTCATGACGCCTGAAAAAGAATTTTATTGCCTCATGCTCATCATTTTCCCTCATATGGATTTGTCTCTCACTCCGATCAGATGATAACAACTATGCATTGCGAAGTGCACGTTGAAGATTCTCTTTCACTTTGTCGTCTTTGTGTTTTCCTAACAGTGAATGTATGAGAATAGATGAGAATAGATGAGAATAGATGAGAATAGATGAGAATAGAAGATGAAAGTGTACGGGCGTGAATGTGTGTGTTTTGTCGGATGTAAAATAATATTCAATTATGGTCCCTTATACATTTTCCACTATATCTCATCATCTTCACACACACACACACACACTCGTGCACCCTTGTGTGTATGTGTGAGTGCGATTGTTTTGAGTGTATGTGTGTGTGTATGTGTGTGTGTGTGTGTGTGTGTGTGTGTGTGTGTGTAAAAGCAATAATATCACAAGGCGGTATACGTTCTATTAGAGAATAAAACCTCGGAAAGGGCTGATTTAGAATTCAACAGACACCAACGGCTATAATATATATATATATATATATATATATATATATATATATATTAGAATGGATTTTTTATTAACTCGTAATTTTCGTATTTGCTCCGATTATTTATTAAAAGTTTGTTTGTTTGTTTTTTCGTCTGCCGGCATTAATGTTCACCAAATCTTATTATTTATTTGTTTATGTTTGGTTAGCAAACGTTTTAAAGGTTTAAGTTGGTTTACGAAACTCTGCAGATATGAAAAACTTCATGTGATCTATGGTGAGAGAAATTTCGCTTAAATGCATAAAGGTTGGTTCCGTCTGGCTGTCTTGTCTTCATGGCCAAGTCGGTTCACTTGACGGTAGAACATTCTGGTCTGATGGTTAGAAGTTCAAATCCTGTCGGAGATCGGCATTTCGTTTTAATAAGATTTCTCGAACATTAAGGCCGGTAGACAAAAATAAATATACTGTTTAATAAATAAACAAATACGATTATCTTGTAAAATAATGAATATATATATATATATATATATATATATATATATATATTGGACTCTTCCGTCGTATGAGGGTCAAGCAGCTCAGTTCCTAAGAACCGACAGCCAGACACCAGCATATATGATTTCATTATAATGGTGAAGTCTTTGTGCAGACCTGGTGCACTACGTGCCACAAGGTCCCCAAACAACCCTTCGCAGGTTTTGAATTCAGGGTTATTCTTCTCCTAAACCAGTTGCCATCCAAGGCTATATATATATATGTTAATAAAATCATTTTCTGATGTAAATTTCAACAAACACCGACGTCTCTAACATAAGAGTTAACCAAAAAACACATTAACGTTTTTCCTTCATTAGGAAAAAATGGTATACATCAAATTTGACATACAGTCAGTTCTCAACTTAAAATAATTGTAATACATATTCTTACAGCGTACTGTGTAAGGAAAGGTAAAAATGCTGTTTAAGTTGTATTCCATAATTTTACCATTATTAAAGACATTTTTATGAAAAAAACCTAACTAAATCAACCGTGTAATATCTTTTTATGAATCATACACTTTATCAAATATTTGATTCCGGTATTATTAATACTTTAAATTATGGTATTATGCAAAATTACTGATTTTATTCTTGCTTTAGTCTATTTATGTTTTATTCTTTTCATTCTTCATACAAATCTTCTCTTTTCTTGACATAAATATGTAAAAACTTTTCAAATATATTATGACTTTTTTTTCTAAGAAATGTTGTTTAATAGAACTAAGATCAGAAAGGTGACAGGTTAGTCTCCGGGAGAGCGAGGTTGTAGTAAAACCAATGTATGTAGTGGGTTTATTATTAGTAACAGAATTACATTCTTTGAACGGATATGTAAATTGATACACTACATTGCTTTTTTTTTTGTAAAGGGTTTAGTTGTGTGGTTGTAGGGTTATTAGAGACTATGAGGTCAATTGTTTAAAATTATTTATTATATATGATGAGCTTAACTTGTTTATTATTATTAATATGTTTAAGATTTCTACTTATTATGCTTTTGAGTGTTGTTTCATCATGTTTGTAATTATTATGCATTTGGTTACAATAGTATAAGTTAATAGTATTATGTTTATTTTGGCGTACAATATTATTATTAATATTATCAATTTTAGTAGAGTATTAAGTTAATTGAGATACATTATATATATATATATATATATATATATATATATATATATATATATATATATTATGCAGTGTTACATTAGCACATACACATATTCACTACAAAATTGAACATTTTTGTTTCAACGTCAAAAATGGAAAACCTTTTTTAGACGTCTCATCAGGTGGGGAATCACGGTGTTACTAAAAGTTTTTTTTTTATTCAGAAATACAGTGGTAGAAGCTCTGACTGACACCAAATCGGTTGGGTTTCGATCCGGACTTGTATCAAATTCATCATTCAATTTAAATAAGTTACATAAAAATGCTAATTATTGATATTAAATAACTTTTAAATTTGTTATATATACTATAAATATATACTATAAATATAAACGTTGTAATATGATAATACTATGGTTCCACTCCAATAGCTTCTTCTTGCCACTAACGCCTGCTTTATGGAATTGACTCCCAAGAGGATGCTTCCCTGACCAATGCAATCTTAACCTGTTCAATCTAGTGTTAACTGTTTTCTTCCCCGCATATCCCAATTAACTGTGCCTCTTATAGTACAACTTTAATCCGAAATTGTTAGATAATGTATTGCATAATTTTAACATTATAAAATGTGTTTGTGTAAAATGGTGGAGAAAATCAACCGAGTAAATGTGTCTATCGATCAGAGACTTTTTGAAATATTTGACACATTGAAATAATCGTAATAAATATTCTTAAATTTTGCTGTGTAAGGAAAGGTAAACTATTTAGGGCGCTAAGTGATGTAATTTATTGTACAATAAACGTAAGTATAAATTAAACCTTCAGTAGAAACATTTACTCACTTTCGTTTATTATGCAATAATTTACATCACTTATTGTCTACCATCGTTTACCGTCTTTGCGCAGCAAGATTTACGAGTATTTTAGAGCGTTCTTCAATTCAAAAGTTGAAAACTTAATATTTTCCTCCACGTTATTTCTCTGTATAAATACAAGTCACGATATAAAACATCTACCTTTATCTTGATAGAGCTCCTCAAAGAACTTAAATTTCCTTTTTCTCTGTCTGATATATATATATATATATATATATATATATATATATATATATATATAAGACCAAAAAATCTCAAAATCACAGCACAATTGCAGTCGTGTTTCGATGCGTATACAATGCATCTCATCAGGTAAATTAAATTAATGGCGAGTGAAAGTTTTATTTAGATTTAAAAGCATAATAGAACCCCTTTTTACGAAAAAAGAAAAAAAGTGGTTGTATGAGTTTTGTGGGCTTCACCCTGATCAACGTTGTTTTATTCATCCGACATTTATGTATACAATATATATGTGTGTCTGCATATGTGCGTGGGTGTGTGTTAGTTTAGTATTTATCTCTGTATAGTTGTTACCCTAGTGTGTGTGTGTGTGTGTGTGTGTGTGTGTAGATATGCAATGTTGTGAGTATGCGTATATTTGTGCGTCTGAAAACATGTTCGAGTAACTGTTTGAGAGCACACAGTCTGTCCGCAGCGCCCAGTGACTGTCGTGTGTGTCTTCAGTGTCTGTTCACATGTGTACGTCTGAACAAACAAGAATCGTTGTGTAAACATTACACTTGATAAGTCGCTCATAACTTTTCGCCAGCGTCTCTCCATACAAACGGCCAGTCAAGGTTCAATGGCTACCGTAGAAAGAAAAAGAGAAAATGAAAATGTTTAAGATATAAAACTATTTGCTTTCTTTCCTCAGCGCTGTAAATAACAGTTCACCTCACCCCCTGTTCTCTTCATTGATTTCTTTCTGACATATAGCTCTTTTTTTCCGGTAGACACTGATGCGGCTTTTCTTTTATATAGCGGGAATTTTTGGAGAGTTAAAAGAACACTGAAGAAATAATCTAACCGGAAGTGAATATTAAATCCGGAAGAAACGTTAAAGAAGTAAAGGTCATTGAGTAAAGAAAGGTGTACAATTTTTAAAAAAAATGAGATAAAAGAAAAAATACAGTTGGTAATCATAGCTCTCCACAACTACCTATCTATTGTAGCTTTAAGCAGGGTTTGCTTTTTTATTAAGCTACCCCCATTTTTTGACATCAATTTATAGAAGATATTTAATTAACTCGCCGTTTTCCTCTGTCCCTCTTGCATTAAGCATATCCTGTGGGTACAAAATACTCCAAGTCCTCTTTCCTCATTTTGTGTTCCAGAAAATTCATCTAAACCTTTCTATGTGTAAGAGTCTTTTGCTTCTCTTTTCCTTCAGAATTCCGCCCATACGCACCATACTATGGCATTCTCAGCATCCTTCTGTACATCACAGTTGCCTCACGTCTAACCTTCATCACTGCTATATAGGAATATTGCTATTACCTAGCGTTTCAGTACTGTTTTCTATGTTTTTAATGAAATTTCCCTGTTTCTTATTACATTGCTTGACTTCTGGAAGCCATCTTTTCTATTTCAATGCTCCTTCGGTGGGCAAAAAATAAAATGCTAATTAAGAAGAACAGGAGAAGGAAAGAAGGAATAGTTATGAGTGATCTAGGATAAGAAAATTAGTGTGTTGAATTCAATTTCAGCACAAGGTCGAGGAAGGATGATCTTTGCTAAAATCCACAGACATCATTCGCTCAAAAACACTTTTGACTATTGATCTGAGAAAATAACTGTATACGGCTGACAGTTTAGATATTTCTGTTTCCGTTTCTTTGTTTTACGACATATTTCGTTATTACATGAACCATAAATAGTTGTCCTTATAAGTCATTTTATTTTCTTGGAAATTTGAGTATTTTTTCTTCTTACAAAAATCTATTGCTGGCAATTTATTTATCTATTTATTTTTAAATCTATCTTTTTGATCCCTGTCTGGGGGTTCCCTATTTATCCATAGCTGGGGCCCTAACGAGTGTTACCACCCAGCAATTAAGAAGTGGTTTCACGCTCTTCAACACCTCATGATCAGACATCTTGCTGCTGGATGCAGTTTATCGCTATACCAAGGACTAAGATATTTCTAAACGAGTTTGGTGCCATGTATGACATCCATATTAAAGTTTCGGGTCCCAAAAAGAGATCTAAGGTCAGAAATGGCTTAATGATATTTTCTACTAATAATTTTAAGGAAAAAAATAATTAAAATCACGTACATTTTACATAGATAAAGCTCTTCGTAATGTGTGAGCTTTAATTGAGAATACACTTTTTGTATTTCTTTAAGACATGGGCTAACCAGGAATACATTCAATGAGCCTATCGGATCCTTTTCTAATCAATCCGAGTGCTCCAACTATAACTGGAATTATTAATGTTCTCATGTGGCACATTCTTCAGATTTCTATTTCAAGATCATTGTATTTTGATAGTTCTTTTGAAGATCATCAAAGATACATTACAATCTGCATTCTGTTTTGTGGTCTTTGATCACGATGCCTGGACGATTGGCGTTCATTGTTCTGTCGGTGTTTATTTTAAAGTCCCAAAAAATTGTTTCAGATCCTATCTCTGCAATCGGATCTGGATAATGTTCATACCAGTTTCTTGCAGTTTCCTTCCCGTAAAAGTTGCAGATTTTCCAGTGCAGATATTGGCCGATTCTGTCATGTCGGGTTTTATATTCAGAGAGTGCAAACTGATAAAAGATAGTCAGTTGTTTCTTGATATTTAACGCAGAATCTGTATTTCAGATTATGATATTTTTTGTCACACAAGGTACGACTTACTGCCACATCACGTTGAAACACTGCTTCCGATACGATTAGCGAAGTTAAGCATCGTCGAGCCTGGTTAGTACCTAGATGGGTAACCGCTCGGGAATACCAGGTGCTGTAAGCTAGGATGTGTGAGTTTTGTAATGGATAATGGCTCGGAATTGTTAATCGGAGAGCCGAGTTCTAATTCCCGTTGGGTTCGTTATATTCACTTTCGCGCAACTACTCTTGGGAAAGGCATGAATCCACTTCCTTTTCCTTCCAGATACGGATTACTTAATAAAACTTATATCACGAAAGCATTGTAAATGTCAAAAAAAATTCTGACAATCTAAAAATATTTTCTGGCTTTAAATAACCTTTAAATATGGGTTGATAGATCTTAGAATCAACCAACAAAAACACGCAGTTTAAGTTTTTGAATACATCGGGTACATTAAATTATTTGTCAAGTCCAAACAAGGACTTCAGCCGATAATTTTCTCAAGATATGTGCAGTTTCAAAAAGAGCCAATTTTTTGATGAGTCCAAGTTGGTACGGTTTCCTCAGCTGTCCAAGGAAGTCACCCAGTTTCAATGGGATTGATCCCAGTGTGCTAATCACTACTGGAATTACTTTGACATTCCCTTCCCGCAGTCCAAACAATCCCCCTATCTCAACTTTCAAATCAGAGTGGGTTTTAATTTTTTTTTTTTTTTTTTCAATCACTTTGTTTTCTATATTCGTGTTATTTGGTATGGCATCAGGAACAATCCGTGGCAGTTCTTGGGGCCTTTATCTCGCACAATACCAATTTTCTGCAACTCATTATCCATACTTTCGAGACAATAAACAATGTCCATAATGACATACCTTATCTATTCTTTTTGAACTAGCATTTTCCAACCACTGATCAGGTGAGACACATTCCTTGAGTGTGCATCACAAAGCCTATATTTTGTTGTTCTATGTATGCACTATTTTATGGCATTGGTAGCAAGGGCTTGGTCTTTTGCCTAAATTATCCATATTTCAGTTATTATTATTATTATTATTATTATTGGGTTTAACAGAAAAATTATTTTAATTCATTAAGTAAAATAAGAAGATTCATTTTTTTTTTTACTTTGACATTAACACCGTTCTGTTCTATAGTAACTGACAACGGACAATGTTACGCAGATATCAACAATGGACAATAAATTTCAAGACCAAACAAAGTATTGAGAGGAATGTAAATATCCTGACAATGAAATAAATGTGATGAACACATATTTAATATCTGATCTCCCATATGGCAGTGAACACAAGACAACTTCCTTATAGATGAAGAAGAGATATGAAGTGATAGATACGTGTTTCTACAGAATAAGACATGTGAGCAATGAGGCGGTTCTAAAGAGAAGAAGAAGTACAAAGAAACTACTGCTAACAATCAGAAAGATTTGAAGCTTCATGAAGAAAGAAGACTTGCAAAATATAAACCTCACAATACGTAGTGAAGGCAAAGGAAGAAGTGGAAACAGCGACAATTATAGTCGACAATTATACTAATAAGATTAATATCATTTATTGTAAACCTTTTGACCAAACGAAGGCATGGCGAGAAAGAGGCTAAATTTATGAGATGAGAAATAAAATAAGAATCAGGAATATTCTTGGACCTGATCTGGCATAATGTAGCTCCCCTGCGCCTCTTCTATAAATACTTCCATTGTTCGGATGAGCGCTTCGTACCTAGACCTCCTTTTATTTCTGTCCCTATATTTCTTTAGTTTAATTCCCCATTCCCTTCCCTTGTTAGGTGATCAGTGATGTCAGTTCTCTGGTGGATGCGGGACACCTTTCTTTTTGCGTATGTGTTTTCGTATTTGTTGTTGTATCCGAATGAGTACGTGTCTGTGTGAGTGAGTGAGATGAATGAATGTTTTATATTATTATAGTCCCGCATTGATTTCGTCCAGTTAACTGATATTTCTACCACATTTAAGAATGTTTATTACTAACATTATTTTGCTTAGTTTCTCGTAGTTTTGTTTCATATTGTAAATACACATTGGGGATAGTTTTAAAATTGTTGTTTTATTCCCTACCAGACAATGGATAATACATATGGGGACTAGCTAGTATTTTTATAGAGACAATGAGGTATTACGGTGGATGTAGAAAGAAAAGTAAGTAAGAATGCGTTGTTTTGGTGTAAGGAATATTGTTTGTATGTGTGGATCAATTTTTGTGGCTAGCTAAGTTTAAAATTAAGACAGAAGAAGACCGTCCTTTTCCCCATTTCCATTTTTTGGCCTTGTGCCACATTTTGTAAATATTACAAATAAATATCGCACTTCGTACCTTGACTTTTTTACTTTAAGCACAGTACTAGATTGTCGGTAATGTCTCATCAGTTTTCAGTTGAATTGGCTAGCTGCAACCGTGAGTTCTATGCTAACAGTTTCTTCTGTCGCACTTCTCATTTACGGAACTCTCTTCCGGCTTCTTCCTTCCCTGTCAACCGTGATCTTCAAAAAAATAAATGCAATGTCAATCGTTATCTATTGCCTTCCTGATTACACTTCTATTCTTCTAGCTCCTTAATAATATTCCTGTTTTCTAAATCTTTCACCCCCAGCAACTCCCTTGCGTCTTAGTGGCTTTACTGCCTTGCTTGGGGTAAATTCGATTAACAAAAAAAAAAAATTCCTGCTTCATTGAGTGTCCGAAAATTCCGTTTTTTAACATCTTTTCTCATCATACTTAGTCAAAAGACCTACTGATATACAATAAATATTATTAGTTTATTATCAATATTATCATTTTTTGTTCTTTTTTATATCGTGAATTTCTTTCATCGCCTATTATATATATATATATATATATATATATATATATATATATATATATATATATATATAGATAGATAGATAGATAGATAGATTCATGTACATATATATATATATATATATATATATATATATATATATATATATATATGTATATATATATATATATATATATATATATATATAAGTTAAAGTCAGATAGATATACTTGTGAACTCCACTCGACACCCCCAGTAGAATTTCCCTCTTTTTCTCTCTCCGATTTCGTTCGTTGGTGCAACCTGGCTAGATACTACCTAATCCAAGTGAACAGCACTGAAATCATAGACCATAAGTGATACTTACTCTGCCCAGGTGGTCGAAAACACCTGTGTTAGGGAAATACTTTGATGTTAAGTCAACTCTCTCTTCTGTCTTATCTTGGATAAATGTCTTTCGACTTTCGATGTCAGCCATAGGTGTCCTTTAATCTTTTCATCATTACTTATTATCTATCTATTGAACTATTGATCTATTTTCTCTTTTATTTCTCTCTAACACACTTAGTCTCTTCCTATCTCTCTCTTTCACTCATTAACTGTTTCTCTCTTTCTCCTTCAATCTCTTCCTATCTCTCCATCTCCTTCTTTTACTTACCAACTATTTCTCTCTCGCTCTCGCACTCCCTTCCTATCCCATTCTCGATTTCTTATTCTCTCTCCACATTATATTCTCCCCCCCCCCACTCTCAGTTCTGATCTTTCAACCTCTGTCTATTTTTTCTCTTGCACAGTCTTTAGCTTTCTCTCTCGTCATCACTCGCACTCTCTTTCTCTCACAAACTTTTTCCTATTCCCTCACACTAACAAGCTCTCTTTATTTTTCTCTTTCACACTATTTCTCACTCCCTCTCTCATTCTCCCATGGTCTCTTTACTTTTCCATCTCTCTCACCCTCTCTCTCTCTTTCTCTCTTCCTCTCTCTCTCTCTCCCTCATTTTGCTAACATCATTTAAATGTGGTCAGTATTCACTATCCGATTACGAGTTAAAGACTTGCTAACTTTAGCATATATATATATATATATATATATATATATATATATATATATATATATATATATATATATGAAGATTTATCAATCCACCCACGGGGATCGAATGTGGCACAAGGCCTTTTTAATGTGGGTATCTCTGAGCCCCGTAGGCCCAGCCAAAAATAAATAACCATCGAAACCCGCCGAGGCGGGGCCAGTTCAATCAACCTCCCCAACGAAACCCTACCCTTGGGCGGAGCTTCGTCCGGGTTCCTCTCTGCAAGCAGAAAGTTCGACAGACACTCGACCTGGCAGCTCACAAAGCGCAGATACTACACTTTGATCCTAGCCACCGGGCCGAGCGGGTATTCTTTTTATAGATATATATATATATATATATATATATATATATATATATATATATATATATATATATATTTATATCGTGTGTCCGTACAAGTGTTTTCTTTTCTAGACACAAAATGTATAAAAATTGTACAAAAGTTCTGCATATCATGTCATTTAAATGAGTCCTATACATGCAAAAAAAAAAAAACATTTGTACGAACAAATGAAAAATAAATAAAAACAGCTTAATCACAGCACCATGTCAGTCACGTTTAATCAAACATGTATAAACGAGGGATTGTTGCGCAAATACCCAATAAATAATATATATATATATATATATATATATATATATATATATATATATATATATTGGGTATTTCATATTTATTCATATATATATATATATATATATATATATATGAAAAAGAGACAAGAGGAAAAACTATTCTTAGTTGAAACGTTTCGTCTTGTGAGGCAATTTATCAAGGAAATGTCTTGATAAAATCCTTCAGACGATGAAACCCATTCTTTGAATATGACAGACATGGAAAATATAATTCATTTTTCATTTAGTTTTTCCAGCATACATATATGTTTTCGTTTAGTGAATAACTGGTTTATTGAACGAAACACACTTAACAGAAATTTTGCTGCCATATATATATATATATATATATATATATATATATATATATATATATATATATATATGCAGCATCTTTTCTCTCAGTCCGGTAGATGAACTTAAATAAAATATACTGTTTAATAAATAAACGGAACGTCTACACGTATCCCCTAAAATAATGTTTAAAGTGATATAATCTGTCGGATTAATAAATAAATAAAAAAAAAATTAATTCTTGAGAAAATTATTTTGTTTACTTTCCGATACGAAACTGAACAGGTTTCTGTTTATAAGTCACTATTCGGCTTAATCGACGACGCACACCGGGGCTGAGTCGGTTTAGAGCACGTTACATCTAACAACACAGAAACGCACACACACGCGCACACACACGCACACACACACGCACACAAACACGCATATGTTAATGGTATCATAGCTTAGGCTACTGTTCATAAGTGATTGGCGACGTCCAGATGTGATTTATTTTAACTGGAAGACTGAGAATGTTTCGGCCTGCCTGCAGTCGTTATTAATGATCAAATTGAAATACTGATTAAAAAATAATCCCGCACACACCCTACAGGGTATCCACACCTGGTATCCGCGTTTCAAAATCATCTGTTATTTGTTTAAATCAACTGAAATTCTCTGCTCAGAAGCATCAAAACGCACCATTTCTTAAAGCTTGTAGTCGATGAAAAATGGATAGTTTTCAACAACGTAATACGAAAGATATTCTCGGTAAAACGAAATGAGTTCCTGTTAACCTCTCTAAAAGTCAGCATGCATTTGAAGAAATTGTTGTTATGTATCTGAATCAATCGGATGGCCTTTACGTGTTACAAGCTCCTTCCACAAAAGCAGTCATTGAATTCAGACAAGTGTTGTTTCCAACGGTGGAATAGTGGATGGCGGTTAAGAGTGAGGAATCAGAGAACCGAGTTCGAATTCCAGTCGAATCCATTACATTCACTTACGTGTTAATACCTCTGTGAAAAGTATGAATCCTCTTCTACTTTCCCCAGCTATGAGTAAATAGCAGGACAGACCGGATTCTATAGCCTTGGATGGCAGCTGGTGTACCGCGGAAAGAAATGGCAACCTACGTCGGTCATGTATCGAATGATACATGTGTTTCACTCAGTCAGTTATGTGCTACACGTGTATCACGCATGGCATATAACTGACTAACCGTTGTTCCCAGTTGAACCGATTCAAGTTAGAAATCGATAAAAAAAAAAGTGTTTGGAATTGGCTAATCGGGTGTCGTCTTCCATCAGAGAAACAACAGACCTTATGTCACTTTGCAGAGCAGAAATTGGTAGAAGCTAACTGGGATGTCCGTCTACACAGCTGACCTTGTATCTTCGAATTGCAACATATTTCGATGTCTGCAAACTTCTTTAATGAGAAGAGCATCAATTATTTGGAAACCTGTAGAAGACACTGACACCAGTTTGTCATCCAGAAAAATGCCAATTTCTGGAAGAATGCAATCATAAAAGTAAGAATTGCCGCAGAAATGACGAAATGTAGTGTAACATCAAATGTAGTTGACTTAATCAATGTACAAATATTGTGTTTGAAATTCACTTGTGGCTTGATAGATTTTATAATTTATGTGTATCCGGATTCTGTCGAAACAATAACAAAAAATAGCAAGTTAATTATTCATTACAAAAACATTTAAATCAGCAACAATTTCCTAATGAAATCAAAAATGTAATAAAACGAGCTATATTAAATTCTGCACACAATGTCTGTTTGTTGATTTTTTTTTTCATCTTTCCAATTTCCAAACGAGTTGTTGTACATCAAATGAATAAATTGTCAAATGCGGCTATAACTATATATATATATATATATATATATATATATATATATATATATATATATTAGAAACAGTCTATAAACTGTCTGTCCTCAAATCACGTACATATATATATATATATAACGCGCGCGTTTGTGTGTGTCTGCGCGTGTGTGTGTCTGTGCATGTGTGTGTGCGTGTGTGTGCGCACGTCAAACTGACAGTTTTTAATGTCTGTAAACTCTGTCCTCACACGCTTTTACACACACACACACACACACACACACTGGCCATATGTGTGTGTGTTGTTTACGTGCGTGTGTGTGTGTTCGACAGATGGATTATAGACCGTGTCCAAATAAATATATACCGACATGCTTTTTCTTTTCTTTATTTAAATACACTTCCATTAATGTGCGATGTAAATATCTTCGTCGAATATTGTCTTTGTCAAATGGATTTTTCATTTACATGTTATTACAAAATGGTTTCTTAAACTTGCAACTGAGAATTGATGTTTAACAAACAATTTGCATTTTTAAGACGACTTGTGATGTTCACATACATTTGTATCTATGAAATATTATAGCAATATCAATAAGCGTCTGACAGGATATAATGTAGATATTGATTTGTTTAAGACTTTTCAAAGGCGTCTTTTACATTTTATTAACAATTATAGAAAACATGAATAACACACACACATACACACACACAAACATATATATATTTGTATTGGACATATACATGTTCCAATGTAACAATGCATAGTGAATAAATATTTATGGGTCTACTTTTTTTGTATTGAGTCCTGATTTAAATTAATGTTTGGAATGACATCTTTACTCTTCGTACTTTGACATATATATATATATATATATATATATATATATATATATATATATATATATATATATATATATATATATATATATAATAAAAAAAGACGTATAAACAGAAAGTATTTAAAATATGTATAATGCATATATCTTGTATATATTGTGTTAAAAACTCCTTTTCTTGCTCGCGTTCGCTGATAGTCTAGGGGAGAGTGTCTCCAACTGAGGTCAAATCGGTCGGGTTTCGTTCCCGGCTTGAAACAATCGCATGTCTAGTCACACTGATGAGCTGTAAAGTAGTCAAACTGTCTGTCTGTTGATGATTATATATGTATATATTAAAATAATTTCTGTTTATACGTTTGACTGTGGATGATTATATATATATAGATGACTATATATATTACATATTTTATTATTACTATTATAAAATATTAATGTATGATCCTTTTGAAAGCTTAGCAGTTAAAAAGAGCTGAAAATAAATATTTGTAAATAAAATCAATGAAATATTTACGTAGGCAATATTAAAATAAATGTAAAATATTTGTAAAAAATATATAGGAAGAAATATTATGATTACACAAATAAATGGGATATAAAGGAAATATATATATATATATATATATATAAAATTCAAAATATAATTTATCATATTATTTAGTTGTTTAGGATAATCCAGTTTAAATATCTGGGAAGTGTTTTTACAGATGACGAAATGTTCGACACTTAAATCTGAAGAAGAAGCATTGAGATCGTGAAAGATGTCTTCCAAAGGCTAAGCAAAGTATTAAGAAACAGGAAAATTTGTTAGTAACAAGAATTCTACTGAACTGTTACGTGATACCAGTAATATAAAACGCGATAAGAAGCAAAAACTAAAAACAAAAAAAAAAACAGTAAGTCGATCGCTGATCTTCTATCTTTAGTACCAGGTAGGTGATACTCATTATGAAGATTATATTATTACAGATATAACTGTTTCCTTACAAGAGCTCTTTTACTATTTTATGTGAACTTAACATAAATGCTATAGTTCTTCATACATTCAAACGTAAAATTTTTATTCTCACACATTCTGATTATTTTAGAAGATCAAAAACAGAATGGTTTCTTTTCTGTGTCTTTTTTTATTATTAGAAATACGTCCATGGCAATTGTTCGGATGAGTTCTTAGCCATGGTAACTAGACATTTTGAATTTATACCCAGTACTAGACTGACGTCGTGGTCTGATCTATTCACAGTTCAGTAGCCGTAAATTCTATACTAACAGTTTCTTTTCTCGCACTTCTCGCTTGTGGATCTCCCTTCCGTCTCCATGCTTTCCAGCCAACTTTAAT